TGCACATGCAAAGTGGAAGCAAATTACTTAAAAAGTCAAAGCTATCTTTCTTAAATGTGTGATTTGAAAGGTAGAGTGGTATTACCTGCCTCAGCCCATCATCATCCTCTGTGTGGTGTCTGTTATAAGGCTAATAAGGCAGACAGAAATGATAAAAATACCAGAAAGCAAATGGAACAAGCAGCAAATGAAGGAGAGAAAGACAGCTGTGGCCTGAGTATGACTGAACCCTCACTGTGTGGTAACTATTAGGCACCAGCATTCTCTCACGGCTTGTAGGGAGATGAATGGGTTTGGCTTTTTCCAAGCAGTTCTTTTGCTAGTGGACAGTGATTTTTAGGCTATATAAAACACACCTTAGTAGCCAGCGACAACTGGGAAAAATAAAGAGAGAAAAGTTATATTTATATCTAGTCTTCCTCCCTCCTCTTTTGGGCACAGTGTTCCAGATGAATCAAGGGAGACACAGACAAGGCACAGCTTAAGCCACATATCCTAAGGAAGCTGAATACCAAGTGACTAACTTTGCTTTATATTATGTGAAAGGTAACTCTTGGTAAAATAAAGCTATCATCTCATGAAAAAAAAAAACAAGATTTCAAAACCTATTGGTCTAATGTGGAATTAAATTTAAGTCTTTCTCCTGAACCCATCATAAGCACTAATGTACCAATAAACAACAACCTGCTGATCAGAACACAAATTTGGGAAATGGGAGAACCTGCTCAGGCAAAGCCAAGGCATGAGTTTCAGCCTTCTAAACCCCATGGAGACCCACAGCTTTTAGGTTAATGGTTATTTCAAGGTGACTTTTACCACCAGTCCTTAAGAGGATAAAACAGTTACGCAACTAAATGCTAATCTTCTCCCCAGTGGGAGAAAACCTATTTTTTTTAATATCCTTCTTACCTCAGAACTCTCTAGGAATTAGAGAACAAAAAACAATATTATTTGCGGGTCTGATGAGTGACTGGAAAATCTGAATGGAATCAACAAGAGATAAAATAAATAAAATTTGTTCCTTGGTTTCTACATTGACCTCAAAGTGAGGGAATTGAGAAAATTTCTATAACCTGTCACTGGAGCTTCAGTACTGGAAAGCATTTATTACCTCTTCATAAAAGCATGTGTTCTTAATGTCCCAAGAGAGTAAGTCTACTAATAATAACAGATTGCAAAACTTCTTAGTTCAGAAAGCAAACAAAACAAGAGTTTCAGTGACTTGTTTATAAGTAGATCCTGTGTCCTGTGTTAGGATTCACCCTGTGGCTCAGTGAGGGGCACTGTGCTGAGCACTGGAATCCTGGAGCAAGAAGGCTGATGTATGCTCACCTCTGGCACTACACAATGAAACTATCTGGATTGTGGGCCTGAGCCATGGTGCTTTCACTTGCATATGTCTGTCTTCTGCCTGAAGGAGATTTCTGCTGGAGAACCAGCATTCTACAGAAAAAAAAAAAAAAAGTCATTACAAAACATTTTTTTACATTAAAAAACATTACAAAACAGATTTTTTAAATCATATAATATCTCTACTTGGAAATGACCCATAATCTTTTGGTTTTTCTTTGTTTTTCACTCCCTCACCTCCTTTCCAACAGATATTTATATATGCCCACACACTCACATACTTCTCTTGATGAAGGGGAGAAATTTAAGAATTGGTGCTCCTTGAACACACACTTTATCTTTCTTTTCTTTGGATTCATAATTTACATACAATTTATACCCATATTTTGGTTAATTTTAGATTTGTCTAGCTGGGTTATAATTTTGGTTTTGGGTACTCTGGAATTGGAATGGCCTGGTTCGTGGTCAGTGGGACAGAAGAAAAACTGTTAAAGATAGAGGAAAAAAAAATAAAGCAGACATTATATCCTCAGGTGAGGGAAGACAGCCATAGAAAGAACAAGATTCCCTAAAAGGCTTGAAAGAGCAGAATTGCCCCTGCACACTGCTGATCTAAATGGAGCCTAGGAGGTCTTAGCTTTACAGGATATCAGACTGCCATGGAAGCAGCTAGTGCTGAGCTGGTTAGTGATTCAATGATATTTCCACCAAAAAGTACAGACCACTGACCTTCTTTTCTTCCACTACAACAGTAGTGATGTTCTTAGGTATCAGAGTAGTTTTCCTGTTTCAAGATGACATGTCTCTGATCTGAAACAACCCAGAGATGGGAGAATGGCTGGAGTCAGAGCACCGTGCAGCCAAAAATAATCCGGTTTGAGTTAGTACTGGGTGTTTGAGGATGTCAGAGTGACACTGTCCAGGGACAGACTTATGGAGATGGCACAGAATTATTGATTCAAAACTACCTTGCTGAATTCATAGCATATTAAAATGATAGCAGGGCATTTGAACTTCCTCTTCTAGATGAAAGCAGAGCTATGCACATGCTCTTTCCCTATGCAGAACATTTCCTTTGAACCATCTATCCAGCTCATCTCTTATCTGACATCCATATTGCACAATTTTCTCTCTACTGTCAAATACCTTAGTCTTTCAGGGTCAGATACACTGTAAACAGGGGCAGCACACAATAAGCCACCAAGCACTCACTTCACTGGATACAGAAATGAATCCACGATTTACAATCAGCTGGACTAGTTGTTACAGTCATAACTAAAATCTGTACTAGTTTCTTATTTATCTTGGCACAGTAGGGCTCACCCCTGCTTCTCCTGCTAACCCCATACATGTTCCTGCTGTTTCCTTCTTTGATACAACAGAACATTTTAATCTTATTTTTGTTCTGTTTTGTTTTCCACAGGATTACCTCTTAGATCGCTAACCAGAAAAAAGGCATGACCGTCTCTTTCTGCAGCAAGGTACTCTTAAAAGACTTTAAAAAATACAACCACACCTTTTACTGAAGTGATTTTAATGTAAACATGAATTTCAAATCTAAATGCAAAATATTGAAAGTTCAGCAGCTTAAATAATTGAAAAGACCCAATGCCAAATAAATAGAATGTAACTTGTTTGCTTATTTTTCTCCAAGTGCTATCCAGAGTCAGGGTACAGATGTTTTTAGGTTTAATGCAAATTTTGCAGAGACAATTTTTTAAGACTCAGCATTTCTAATTTTTGTCCTCAACAATGAAAATTAGCAGGGATATTTTCAGTAAATGCTACAAGGAGCACTAGTTCATTGGAAATATTAATCTTGGAAATATTAATATTGGAAATATTAATCTTCTCCCCCCCAAAAAAACCAAAGCATCTCTTCTCTGTGCTTAATACTACATTTGGCTCAGATTCCATTCCTGAATAACATGTACATAGCACTAAAAAGTGTAGAATAGTTTTTTTTTTTCCTGAAATGATAGAATTATAAATTTTTAAGCAAAATACTAATACAGAAAAAAATTTTACTATTTGTATGTTTTCAATAAACACTGGTCTTATCCCAAAGCTTGATAAAAAATAATGATAACAAATACATCTGGTAATGTATTAAAGAACTGACTAAGCTTTGAATTTAAAAAAACCTAAATCTTTAAACTTTAAAACATACACAGGGAACAGAAACCAGAAATGGAGAAAAGTGATTCCTAAATTACACCACATAACATATATTCTCATCTTTCACTTCATTCCTGTTCTGTGGCCATGAAACAACCTTGCTTGCAGAAGCCATCTAGAGACACTGCTTCACTTAAAGAAGCTCCTAGGCTTAGAGAAGGATATTTGCATTGCAATCTCTTTGCTCAGCATAATCCTTACTAAAATTCCACTGAAGCCTCAAATACCCAATACTTCTGCTGAGAAAGCCACTTTCTCAAAGATGTTTCACCTCCTCTGCACCTGTGGTTCACTTTTGTTGCTAATAAAGGCCTTTTGACTACTTTAATTCTGCAGTTTCCTTCAAGTTATACTGTATGTGTATCAAAATGCTTCAGGGTCAGTCTTCAATGCAAAGATGGAAAATTTTAAGAATGTATTGGGCAAATCAACACTCTCCATTGTTGTCTGATTCCATGGTAGCCAGAGAAATCATCCTGCCCTAAAAAAGCATTGCAAGACATACTTTTAAACTGATACACAAGACATACTTGTACAAGACAAGCTTGTAAACTTATAGTAAACTTGTTCATAGCAGCTTACATGTCGGGATATTCTCAGTTCTTAAGAAGCTTGTCACAAGCTTTTCTTGTTCTCAAAATAGAACTGTAGTGCAGAGCTAAACAGTGGGTGACTAAGAATAAAGACGAGATCTTTCAGTTCAAGCTTTGATACTCTATTTTATCTGAAGCACTTTTCAATAAAGCAGATTACAAGAACAGACTTTGCCATCCAATTTCTATTAGATTTATCAGTTGTGCTTGGCAGAGGATCTCTTGCAGCTAAATGTCTATTATCTTTAACTAAGTTATAACTTTCACATTGTTCTTGAATAATGTTGTCTGTATTCAGCAGGCCTGGAGAGACTATATAAAGCACTCTGATTCAACAGCTGCAATTAGTAGAATATAGTCTTGAAAAAACCTGTGATCTTAGCCTACTGGTCTAAATCATCTCTTCAGTAGAAGAAACATTAAGCAAAGTCTCCAACAAAATGCTGAAGAACATGCTTAAGAACAAGCAAAATGCTGAAGAACATGCTTAAGAACAAGCAGTGTTACTGAAATTAAGCCATTGCCAGTTATTTTGTGTTAGTCTCACATCAGTTTTCAGTTTCTATTTCCTGAAGATAAGCACCAAATTTGAGTTTAATTTTTAAAGTATTCCCAGTACAACTGAGTTGTCTTGAATATTTTCCTGTACATGGCATAGAGCTGCTCAGGTACATCAGATGTCATCCAAGTGATAAATAAATGGCTTTTAAGTGGGTAGCAAAGTTGTCGTTCCAGAGAAACAGAAGAAAGAGGTACTATGTGCTGTTGTCATTGATGTCAGTCAGCTCCCTTCATCTTCTATTTTCAACACTGTTTTCCATGAACCTGACTGTCAAATGTGACAACATAACTGGATGAAAGCATCACTGACCACAGTGCTGATTTACTGATGGAAAGCATTTTTATTTGTAACAGTAGTTTCCTATAGATAATGTATTTTCTTGGAAGGTCACAATTTTGTCATTCAAAGTATAGGTCTGCCCATTGAAGGCTGGGAAAGCTTGGTTTCCCCTCAGAAGGGATTAAAATAGATGTGAGTTATCCCACAGGCTGGAAAACAACATACAGTTTTGTATAAACCTCACTGTGTTCAGTAAAAATAAAATAATTACTAATTACTCTCATTAATTAGACTGTGAGAGAAACTCACAGCCTAAGGAAGATGTGGATCAGCAGCCCAGGGTTTTTTGAATGCTTCAATAAAACAGAAAAATGAGGGAAAAGAAAATGTCCCTTACTCAGATGGAACTGCTTAAATGTGTTTGACTTTCCTTATTGCTATACGTTACTCTGCTGCCAGTCCCACCCACTCACTAAACATCTGCAGCAACCACAGTCCATGCAGGACACAGGCATACAAGGGACAAACAGAAATCAAGTAAGAGACAACAGCATAAAACTTGACGGATGACCAGTATGGGTAAGCAGGAGATGTCCCCACTCTAACTACTCACACCTTCAGCTGTGTGGTACCCATCTAGCAGTCTGAGGAACAGGGGGTTCAGGAAAACCAGAAGTACCTGAAAGGTATTGGCAGGTGCACGGATGGCTGAATCTCAAGCAAACTGTGCACACACAGATACACTGCACATTGCACTCACTGAGTAGTGTAGCAAAAACTTTACCCTAATATGGAACTCATATGGGGTCAGCAGGATACACAACCAGGGTAACCTAGGTAAGATTCACTTCTGGATTTTGAGGTACCAGAAAAAAGAATGTTATCACTGCACTTCAGGTTTAGCCAGAAGAGTGCCTCTTCCATTAGCTGAGATCAGAACTACTGCAACATTTTTACTACTAAATGGGAGAAAAGAATATACCAGGAGGAAAGATGAGTGTACTAATATGTTGTTCAACAAAAGTGCTGTTTATATCTAGGTTAGTTAAAGGTGCAAGACTAAACCATTCAATGGATAACTCCTCCTGTGAAAGTATTTCCTCTTATGAAAGGAGATGGCTGCAGATTGAGGGCAAAGATAGCTCAGTACAAATGTGATTTAGATGATGGGATGCTGGGTTGTTTTTAGACTACAGCACAGATGGTGCCAATCTACTGTGATGCCGGGATCAGAGGTCAACTGAAATTCAACTAAAATAATGGGAAATTATTTGGGGAATAAAAATAAACAACTATGCACCAGTGGGGTTTAGAGGAAGGCAGTCCAGGAAACTTCTGGTGATTTCCTATCCAGTGAGTGTTGAAATACCATCCCTGGCTAGCATCTATGACATCTTCCACTACAGCTTGCTCTTAGGGATGTCTGAGTCCATCAGATGTTGCCAGAAAAAGGCCTGTATCCTGCGCCATGCATCTTCTTGGGCTTTAGCATGCTCTCTCCACTGCCCTCCCCAATGCACCAACATCCCAAGCACCCTGTGGATTGAAACTTTGCACAGAGGTAAGTATGGTGGCTCCAAGAGGTGCCCTGCTCCAGAATAGGAGTAAAACTCCACTTCCCGGCCATGCTGCTGAAGGCGCTGAACAGCATCCTGGCAATAGAGATCGCTTTTCCAGTTCATGTCATCCAGTCCAGACAGGAAGAGGAACTTGGCTAAGGACCTCTCCACAGGAATGCGACAATCCCAAGTTGCTGGGTCCATGTGATCATCTAAGACATCTGAAAAATCTACTATTCCAGATTCATCACTGATCTTCATTCTCCCCAGGTCATATGGGTGGACAGGAATAGTGAAGCCATCCCCCTTCAGAGGAACGAAGGAGTTAAAGCTACTTCCAGATATGCTGACAGCTGCTTTGATGCCAGGTAGAAATGTGGCCATTGAAAGGGCTAGATCACCTCCTTTAGACAAGCCCAAAACACCAATGCCAGTATCTTTCACCTGAAACAGAATTATAAAAGCAGTGATATTAACTACTTTTATTTCCTGAGCTGACATAACCTCTCCAGTCCTGCTTTCTCACTCATCCAACTATGACCACTCATATTTTACTCCTTCTCTCTGTTCTGGTTATATTACTTCTTCATCTATCCCTCTGCTGAGCCTCCAAAAGAGTGACTATGAATTCTACAGCTCCTCAACATTTCTCCTCCTGTAACACATTTGCCTCCTGGTGACCTGTATAGACAAAGCATCCTTGCTCCCTCCACATCCCAGCTCAGCCTGCTCTCAGTACGGCATCTTTTACTGTTCTTCTTTCCAAGCCACTTTTTCCTGGGTTTTCTTGCATTGAATTTCTTCATTGCAGTTTCTTCTATACTCTCCTACATCTGACCTGTTATTTTCTGTTTTGTCTTGGAAGACATAATGTTCATTACACCTGAGGCTAAGTGAGCCCAAAACTGTTTAAATCAACTTATTTCTAGTGAAGGCCCTTCACACTGAATTCTAGACATTTCAGAGGAACAAGACAAACAAGCAAGGCTGAATTCTGCTCTCACACTGCCTACAATCCTGGTGTCCATGTGATAGAAAGTAAATAACTTTGCAAAACAAATACACATTAAGTAGCATTGCATTAAAATTTTAAATGCTACTTGATTTCTCTTGGTCACTTTTGGGTTAAGTATGATGATACATTGCCATAAAGTATCTTTCTTGTCCCACACACTTGTTCAGATACAGCCTCAGCTTCTTAAGATATGTCACAGGTAAAGTGCTACAACTGCAAAGGATTTTGTTGTTAGAGTGTTTTATTACTGTCCTGCAAAACTTACTCAGAATCAAAAGCCTGTAATATCTCAGAAACAGTAAAAAAGCCAATGGATTTTTTTCCCTTCTAAAATCTTAAAATATGCAAAACTAGTACAAAATTACTATTTCCTGCTTAAGCAACTTTGTATTTCTAGTCTAGGAACCAATCAGCAAACTGGAAAATAGTTTCAGGAAGAGCAACATAATTTGTCTCTTACCTGCTGCTGTTTCCGCAAAAAGTTCACAGCCTCCTCAAAATAGCTCAGTTCAAGGATCTCTGGCATAGCAGGGATATCTTCAAAGGACATGTAAGCAAGAGCCAGAGTGACAAAGCCCCTGCTAGCCAGGAGACTTGCTCTGTATTCAATAAGACCTCCTCCAGATCCATACAAATCAATAAGTCCAGGGAATGGGCCAGGTCCTGCAATGAAAGGAGGGTGTACACATAACCAAAAGAAAAGTCCCTCCTCAGCAAACACCAGGACAGTAGATATCAGAAGAAAATCATCCTCTGGAGCTTTCCATTGTATCATTCTCAGGAACACACAAAATTACTGTAAGGACATGAATTTGCACATTTCTCTCTTAGGAACTCATTATAGGAAGCTCACATGTTGGACATCCTTCTCTCATGGTGAATTTCAGCGGCATTGGCCTACAAGTCCTCAGGCCATTGAGGACCAATGAAGCAACAGTATTACTGCAGGAATGGCTCTTCCTCAGGAAATATGCTAGCAGGTATGCCATGGAGGGGATACTTGGGTTATGAAATATTCACAAATGCCAGAACTGACCTGTGCCAATTCAGGTTTCAGTAAGATTAACTACTCCTGAGCTCTACAGCTCTCCTGCAGCAAAAGGACCTTCCTTTCCTCATGCTGGTCTGCCCATTCTCATAGCCAGATTTCCCTTACAAGATGTGATGTTACTGCAGCTGAAAGGGGCTGTTTGTTAATTACAGAGAAAGACAGCCATGTTTAAGCGCCATTCAAGGAACAGAAACACTTCAGGCTTAAAGCAGCTTTGCACAGGATCCATTCTCAGCACTGTCTGTGTACAGAGTTGTAAAATATGGCACCTGTTTAATTAAAGACCTTGCTTTTCCCATTTGTCTCCTATCTCCCATGCAGTCCAGCTGCTCAGTCAGGAAGAGACTTCTTTCTTTGACTTTTCCTGGCTAAAAAGAACACAGAGAGACAGGTCCAGAACCTGCAGGAAGATATGCAGGAGCTGCTGAGGGCATGGTTCTCCAGCCCAGGCTGGCTGCAGCCTGAGTCCAGTGCTCCCGCGATGCCTTGTCATTCTTCACTCCATGGTCAGAGCCCTCACACATCACAGCTCTGCCAAGGACCAGGGGCCTCTTTGTCCTGTCAGCTAAACAGAAAAGCTAAGAAATAAACACATCGTTTGACAAAGCTCTCACTGCAGGAGAGGTCAAGACACGCAACTAGAACAACCAGGAGACACCTTGTGTTACCACTGCTCCCTCCCTGCACCACCATACCCTTCCTTGGCCCTTACCCCGCCTGGGGAGCACCTGCTCCTCTTTGCTCTGCCGCGATGATCCAGACACAGGTGAGGGAAGTGTTTGCTAAGGCTTTGCTCTTTGCTCTGGGTGGCTAAGTGCATTTGGGGACCACGGGGAATAGTGTGTCAGACATACCTGGAAAACCAAAATGGAAGTAAAACTCACCAGGAGGGAGGAAGAGGGTTGCTCTGAGACGACCTTCTCTGACCGAAATCCTCTTCACCCCCTCTCCTAAAAACCATCGTTCATTGGTGCATTTTCCCAGCAAGCGGCTCGTGTCCCCATGGCCCTCATACACTTCCACGTCCACACAGAAAGGGGTCAGGACGTTCCTCTTTGCCAGCCGCTTGTAGGGCGTTTTGGACCGCAGAGCCCAGAGCAGCCCCATCGGCTCCACTCCCAAATAGCTGCCCCCCAGCGCTGGGGAGCGGCTGAGGTCCAGCTCCCCGCTGCTCCCAGCCCTGTAGAGAGCGTGGGATTGGAAAAGCTCCCCGCTCTCGTCTACCAGGCTGGCTCGGAGGGTGACCGCCTGCTGCGGCTGTAGCCCGGCCACACGGATGCGCACGGGCTCATCGAACAGGCACCGGCGGGCGGGCAGGACGGACACCCGCGCCGCCATCCCGGCCCGCTGCACGGACAGCGCCGCACCGACCTGAGACACCCGCCTCGGACCGCGTCCTTTCTCGGGATTAAACTCTGCTCAAAGTCCAGCAGCAATCATCGCCAGCACTTCCTCATCGGCCGGTACGGGCTGCTGGGAGACGTAGTTCGGAGCACGCCTCCCTGCAGACTCTGCGGCTCGGGTGGCACGGTGACACCGGCCACTTGCACGGGCACACGCTGTCACTTGTTCTTGGCGAGTGCTTTTACTTCTGATCACAGAGAGAGAACTAAATTAAAAACCCCAAAGCAGCGAAAAGATATCCAAATTGCCGCGCCCCCCTGCACGGAAATCCCAGATTTGGAAGGCTTGGGAGCCTTTGCCAGGGCACAGTAAACACAGACAAGCTGGAAAGCCTAAGTGGCATGGCATCTTAATCTCGCCACAAAACAAAGCCTGCTCTTGATCCCTCTTGAGCTTTCTGCAATTTTTGGACAAGCACCACAAGTTAAAGTGAAACTTTATGCTATAACTATGTTGCCTTTAAAAAGCAAAAGAAGCAAAGTCAAACAATTACTATATTTTTTTCCTTCCCAAGAATTAATTTCCCCCATATTGATAATGTTTCTAAAGAACTATTAGAAGATTTGACAATAAACAGCAGCTTTTGGTTTTCACAAACAACAATACTACAGTTTTACAATGTCTGTGTATTTAATAGCCTTCTTGTCCTACCCTGGGGGTCTCAGACATGTGAGTAGTCCTATCCCATCTGTGGAAATACAAATGGGAATTATGGCTGGTTGAACCAGCCCCCTGGTTCAAACAACTTGCCTGACCATGCACTAAGCAGCAAATGAATGAAACGAGCTTACAAGCTGCAGAATCACACCTCAAGCCATGAGACCACAGATGATGTGCAGATTGACTGCAGATCTGGCAGGGCAACTCTATCCCCCAGGATTCAAGAGAAAGCAGTTAAGTTTAAACACAACACTGAAAAAAAAACCCCAAAAACAAACAAACAAACAAAAAAAACACACAAAAAAAAAAACAGCACTAAAAACATGTAGCTTTTTATTGGAAAATAGCCAACATTGACTTTTGCATGTCCTCTCAGATGTCCTTCAGCCATTGTTTACTTTGGAAAAAAAAGTAAATTAGTACAGAAATAAGTTTAAACTGACCTATTTATTGCAGAAATTGTAGTTTCTCACCATCAAAACACCACAGCTACTGAACTTAAAGAACTACAACAGGACAGACTTTTGCCTTAAGCAGAATGCATACGTTGGACTGTTGCAGCCTGATGCATAGAGCAGATCCTTCCTTGTCCACTTGGGTAGTAATGAAAACAATCTGTAGATCTGAATGAACAGTCAGGGCTTCCGTTTTGGGATTTTCAAAACCTGGATTGTCTCCCTTCACATTTTATTTTGCTCACCATCACTGAGGCAACATGCAAAGGCCTAAAAATCCTATTATCATAGTTCTACTTACAAGCCAAAAAATCTGGCCAATTGGTCTGGACTCTGAAATCAAGAAAAATAGCCATGATGTGTTCAGCTGGCATTGTTGACCACAATTTAACGTTCACATTTGTACTCCAGTCACAGATGCTGATGATTGCGTCACATCAGGAACAGACATCACAGGCTCGAGTCTCCCACCTTCGCTATAGCATTTTCACAGCTTTTGTGAGACTATCTAGTAGTTGATAATAGCTGTACTTAATGTCATATTCCATGTCATACCAATAATTCACTGAGGAGACAAGAAAAGGGAAAAAAATTTTAAGGCTAGAATGTAATGATTTACGAATGTGTTCATAGACTGTTTTACACAGCTCAGTTAGTACAGGCTTTTCCTTACTACTGAGTGAACTTTGAAATGAGCAAATGTGAGAATACAGCTAAAAATAACAACAGAGTTCTTTAAAAGTGATGCAAATGTAACTCTGTCTTAACCCAAAACAACTTCAGACTCTGTACTGGAGAGTCATTGGAGCACAAGATGGCAAAACAGCTTGGGAACAGTATGTTTCTATTTAGACAAAAAATACAAAACTGCAAAGTTTAATATCTGGATTGGGAACCTCTCTTTCTGTGTAAAGGATGGCAAATTCATCACTACTTCACAGTGGTCATCAATCAGACAGTGCTTTAATTTTGCTTCTCTTGCTAACTTTGGGGTCTCCTAGGAAAATTAAGCCATACATTGTAATATTATACCAGTGCTTCTTGGAGGAAGATATGCCCTAGCTTCAGACATTAACTGGACCAGACCCAGAGAAAACTGATTTCTCGAGTGTATACAGACTGTACTGCAGTTAACAGACTAAAGAACAAATAAATTCAAACTCTTTGGTATTTCTGCTAAGCAGAGAAAATAAGTGGTCAGGGGCTCGCAGCTGGAAACAACTCTACTTTAAAAAAAAAATCTTTAAGGACTGATGCAGTAGCACTGGGAAAAACAAATCATAATTACTGCTTTACTGCTAGATTGTCTTATTATCACAAGAGCCACAAGAACTGAAAAAAGGGCTTGCAATACTTGCAGTATTATACAAATACTAACATTACACTGCTCAAAATACTTTTTTCTTTAACAGCATTATCAGGATTATTCCAGACAAAGGGCAAGCAAAAATTCCAACAAAAATCTCTTCCTCAAACCTTGCAAAACTTGCACAACAGAACAATAATACCTTGCACCATCCCCACCCCTCCACATGTACCAAATGAGCACTGATGGAAATTCTGGTATTCACTTGGAGAGAGAAGAAAAGAAAAGAGATAGAGAGATGATGATAAATCCTACAAAGAAAGTGATGACAAGACTTTTGGTAAGTGCAAGGGAAACAGTAACACAAACACAACCTTATTAGCAAGGCAAGAGACTCAGAGCAGATTTCAGCTCATATGAAAACAGAGTATCTTCTATGTTGTGTCAACAAAGCTATGAATTATAAACAAAACAGGCTCAAAGAGGCAGCCCCATAGGACCTGCGAAGATTGTTATTCCCTCCTGCAGAGAGACAGATAACCTTAAAGGAACTTTTGCTCCCACTGGTGCTTTGCTGTGGGATATCTACCTGCACACCCATCACAGTTCAAAATTGTATCTGGAAATACTGTCTATTTTACCTGCAATACAGCCATGTGACTGCTGAACATGATGGAACCAGAGAGAAGGCAGATATAACATCTCACCAGCTTTCACTGTACACTTCAAAGGTTTTGCCTGAGCATACTCTGGATACAGTTCTAGATCTGGTTTCAAGGGGTCCAGAGGGATCCAGGGCACCTGAAGGCAAAAGAGTGTGTATATGGTACTGACCCTGGCAAAAAATTCCAGCAAGCCTCCTGAAAAACAACTGATAATCAAACTCACTAGGTCACAAAACATGTACTTTGCCTAGCAAAACATGTACAGCTACACAGCTTTCCCAGTTCAACTGGGAATAGTTCAAGGATGCAAAGATGTGACTCCTTCACTGATGCATTTCTAATTAGAGAAAAGACAATAAATATCATCCATGAAACTGCAGTCTCACGGCATACTTTCAAAACACCTCCAGCCCCTTAAGTTGCTTGTTCCTCCTACATTCATACTTAAGTAATTTATCTACAGCACTCTTTTTAGAAATTCCTTTCTTCTTCTTAAGCTCTCTGGTATAATTTTCATTCCCAGCAGCTGAAACATCACTCCCTTCTGGGAAGTACCTCTTGCCTGCATTAATTCTTTCTCTGCCCAACAGAATTATAAACCTCAGCATTCCAACCTTGCTGCATTAATGGAATGTGATTCCATGAGCCCCACTCTGGAAACAGAGAACAAGCCCCTGTTCGAGTTCTGTTGTAACATTACCCACACTTTGCAGAGGCAAAAGGCAAGGGATTAAGATTCTACTAAGATTTGTAAAGTGCCTCCAGATCAAAACATTTTAACCAAATAAATATTGCTACCACTAAGAAAATACAACTTATTCATTCAGACAGGTATGTTTTATTGCACTGGGTGATACTACCATGGACCTGAGTAGAGGGCCAAAAGAAAGTGAATGTAGAGGGGTCTATTTCAGGCATAATGAAATAAATTCCTTTATTATCGATGCATTCAAAAGTTCTTTAGTGGATCTATTCAAGTCTGGTTCAAGGCAACACTTCATGACATCCATCCTTTCAAGCGTGCAGTAAAAGATTTTTCTAGAAGCTGGGTATGCTTTGCAAATAGTAAAATACAAGTGAAATATCTGGGCATTCTCTTCCAGTAATGAAGGATTTCTAAATATCAATCAATATGCTGAGTTTGAGGGCTCAACAATGCCCCAAACTCTCCCTAGTGTATTAACTGCATTCTCTATAAACTTTTTACCTTCTCTGCAGTCTTCTCATCCACAATTTCAAATGAACCATCTTCTGATATGTGGTAGGTGGCTGGCTGATAGAGCTCTGGAACCAGAGAAAGAGTTAAATTACACAATTCAGAGAACCTAATGGCAGTGCATGTCACACTTTCACCAAGAAAGATTAAGACAAAACCACTTTCAATTTACTGTACTCACTATCTTTCCCTTTTTCTATTTCAAATTTTATCCAGTTATTTATATACTTTTTTCAGTCAGTCTGAATAATACTTATTGTCCTCCAAGCCCATTTGTATCCCAGTCCTATTTTGTTCCAGTAACTGTTTTCTTTCCTTTTCAGAAGGCATAAATGCACCCCTGACTTACACATCATTCTGTAGCTGGGTGTTTCATCTTGGGTCAGTCTAGCAAAGAAGCACTCACAGGAGTTATTAGTCACTTGTGGCCAGCCTTTCATTTTTCATTTTAATTGACAAGGCTCATCAATTGCTTCAGATACTGCTAGTTGCTTTTCTTTCATTGCTTCAGCACATGTGGTTTTCCAAGCCCTCCCTTGAGACAGTTTCTTGCCATTAATTAACCTAATGCTCAAAAAGACGGAATTCTCCTTTTACTACACACTATGAAATGTAAGCATTGTCTGTTTTAGGCTTTAACAGTAACTTTTTTTACCAAGTAGGACTCCTATAACACATATATATTTTATACATTCACATACATACAACACCACCTGTCCAAGAAAGGCTGAGATGGGGTTGTTCAGCCTGGAGAAGACAAGATGCTGGGGAAACCTCACTGTGACCTTCCAGTACATAAAAGGGGCTTTTAAGAAAGACAGAGAAGGACTTTTTACCAAGGCCAGGACAAGGGTTAATGGTATCAAACTGAGACAGGGTAGATTTAGATTATACATAAGGAAGAATTTTTTAGGGTCATGAGGCGCTGGATCAGGTTGCCCAGAGAAGTTGTGGATGCCCTGTCCCTGGAAGTGTTTGAGGTCAGGCTGGATGGAGCTTTGAGTAATTTGGTCTATTGAATGGCAGGGGCATTGACCCAATGATATTCAAGGTCCTCCCAACTCAGACCATTCTGTGATTCTATGACTTCAAGGTTGTAAACAAAACAAAAACAACATAAATAAAATATTGTAGCAGCACACATCTAGCCAAAATTATATTTGCATCATAGAGCACACTTAGTCTGATGGTTTGAAAGCCAAGGAATGGGAAAATTCTTATGAGGCACAAATTTAAGCTGTCCATCTTTCAGAAGACACTGCAACAGTAACTACTGCTATATATATAGAAAAGACACATAAAGAAACAGAAAACAGGCAGTGTGAAGCAATGCTGCCATAAGAATCTTTCTCTTCATTTCTCAGTTTTCAGAGATTCAGTTAGTAGCTTGAATATTTCATTAAAATACAAGTCACTTTTTAGCTTCCTGGCTTTTTTTTTCCTAGAGAAAAGCAGGTAGGCAGAATCCAAACCTGTAAAACATGAAAGATGACATGCTACAACACTGACAATATACTTAAATAATTTAAACATTCTAAAGCTGAAGAGACTGCCACGAGTATCACAGAATCAATT